TTAATGATGAAAAAATGTGCAGAAAAGACAGTACTGACTTTATGTCGTCTCACTCTAAAATAAGATTAACTGCTCAGCTTTTGGAATATTATATTTTACTAAAGGAAAAGAAAATTGCCTGAAAGTTTAAATAAAAACTGAAAATGAACGAATTATGCTTTATTTTTGCAGGAGCATTTTTTTTTATTTAATTAGGCAGACGCTTTCAATCTACAGTCAAATTAGATTTTGCTTGCAGACAGCYACATTTATTTAAAAAAGAGGGAGTGACAACAGAGTGTGTTGACCAGTCAGCTCTTATTTACATGTATGATGTAGCCTTTCAGGTATTGTTTGCTTTGGTGCTCATGTGAAGTGTCCTGGATTCTTACAGTCTTCCCAAACATTCATTTTGATTGCTGATGATGATGATGTTCTGGTATTCATCTTTGTACAAAATACAAAAGCCCCTCATAATTTTTCATTTATTTATTTTCATCCTAATATTTCAATGCTCGAAGAAACATTTTATTTTCCTGCTGGACATTGTTTTTAATCTCCAAAGAGTAACCTGTTTAAAATGATGACTATTTATTAGGAGTTGAAGTCATTATTTTTAAAAACGTCTAAGTTATTGACCGACATCAGGACTGGTTTAGATCATTGATACTTATAAACTATTTTTTTCTTGTTTATATTTAGCTGATTTACATCATTGTTGAATGGAATTTACATAATTAGAAAATATATTGTTTATTTGTAAAATAAACTACAGATAATCTATTACAGATCCAGTTGGGCTGCTGTTAATTTAATAGTTGCTATGTCAGCTGTGAGCCGACGCCCTGTATGGGCACCATTTTTGTTCCTCCATGTTAACAGGATAGGCAGGAATCACTCTTGGGATATTTAACTCTATGGTCTGAATAAGAATATTATCACCAGTTAACACAGTGAACTGAACTTTGGCCACATGGCAATATTTTATACAAATTCTTATCTGGAACATTGCACAGATTTGTATCTTTTTTTAAAACATAAGGATTGTATAAGAAGAAAAAGCAATACACAATACACAGTTTTGTAGTGGTTTACATTTACTGTAAATGTACCATTTGACTGCAGTACAAAATTCCTCAAAATCTTCCATTTATGAACATCTAATACAACACAACAAAGACATAATTGAGAAACATCTGGGCAAAGATGTGACAGGCTGACTTGTTGAATCCCTTCATTAATCCGAGTTCAAGCCACAATAAAGCATATTCATAATTTTCTGAACATTCACCTGATAAGTCAATAACCTCAGCCGCCCTGCGAGCAAGCACATCCGAACAACGTGGAGGAAGAAAAACAAATGTCTGCTAGGCAGCAGCACAAGTCACAGCACTGAGGAGAGAGCAGTGCTCAGGAGTTTGAATAGTACCATGATGGAGTATGGGCCAATAGGCCCCAGGTTTTCTTTTACAATAAAGATGCCCACTTCAAATGTGCTCTAAGCCTCATCATCATGCCTTGAAGACTTCAACGTAAAACCAAAACCAAAAAAAAAAAGAAAAAAAAAAACCCCATCTGCATCAGAACGTTTTTAGCAGTTACTAACCCGACAACCACATTAAGTATGGTTGAAGTCAAGATGCAAAGAACTGTAAAAAAAAAAAGAAGAAAAAACTAATTGTAAATCGGAGCATATAGACCAACAATTCCCTTCTGTTTGAGCTGATGCAAGAACAGATCTTATTCTGTTTAAAATTAAATTTGCAGCAATAAATTGGCCTTTACTCACTCAAAACAACTTTATAAAACTGTTCTTCCTTTAAACAAATAAATTCCTTCGTCTTTGCTTTTTACACTTATTGTACGGCAAATATAAACAAAATTAATTCGACAAAGACTTMATTGCACTTGGAAGTACTCAAAATGATTGTTTTAGCTTGTAGACTAAATCACAAACATTTTCAAAGAAAAAAGGTTCTCAGTTACTGAAATGCTGGGAAAGGATGCTTAAAGCACGAGACTGAACGTTTTACAGAACGATACAGAAGAACAGCTCTTGTGATCAACACTGTCGCATGTTTTATCTTTAACTTCATCAAACACAGCTTAACTAGGATTTTTTGACATATTMGATTGTGAGGCTGATAATCAGAAACTCAAGATTTCTGTTCGTTTTTTTCCCCCCAAAATCTTCTAGTCATTTTTTTGGAAACTTATTCTGCATTTCAGAAATTCTCAAATAAGGTCATATTATCTGCGAACATATTAGTTCTTTGTGTGGCACACGAGAGAAAGGTCAGACAAAAACATTTGCGTCCTTACTTAGCAAAATCCCTTGCTGCTGAAAAACGAGTTATGTATATTGGCACTTGATGCTACAAAAGGTCTTTCCTTTCTTGAAATAAAACAAGTTAATGGAGGGAAGGAAAGAAAAAAAAATGGCGCTTAATTCTTGGCGTGCCATCTCACATTCCAGACACAGGCAAGAGCAAGTTGGGAGATTTAAGGCACATTACTGACAAACACTGATAAGACAAAAACCCAATACACTATGTACAGAAAGTAAAATACAGAAAGTTGATGATACAATCAAGAGAGAGGCCTGTAAGGCTAAACTGCCTCACAGTTTGACTGCTGCTGCTATGGCACAGCCACATCATAACTCCACACACAGGACGACAAAAAAAATAAAGATGCTAACAAAACAATTACAAAAAAAAGAACCAAAATGTAATGAACATATAAAAATACACATGTAAACTGATTACCAATAAACATTCCACTCATTCACCTAAAATGGTAATAAAAACTAAACATAAAATCATAAGGAGTACAATATATTTAATTATTATTTTTTTGGTTGTTTTTCTCCATATACACAGACAAACTGCTCTTAGACTATGACCTCGAAGGAATGTCAACCAATCGATACACTGAAGGCAGCCAAAGGTCAAAGGCCACAATACTTTCCTTTGGTTTTTTATCATTATTAAATTTGATCAAGTCACCACTTTTGGTGTGCTGGCCTATTTAATTTAATTTTTGTTTGGCACTCCATTTATGTGGCGTCCTAATCTCAACGGCTAAGTGCTCGTTTTAAGTTTGGTACAAAATGCATCTGTGCTTTTTCTTAATAATATTAATAAAAAAAAAGGTAGAGATATTATTACTTCAGTCTTCGGAGTAGACTTCTCACAGGCATAAATCTAGTAATAAAGTGCATGTCACTGATACAAAAGCATAATTCAATGCAGGTAGTATCAATCTGTAAAAATGATTGTACTAATCATTCTGCCTGTTCCCTTAAACAAAAAGTGGAGAGAAATACTGGACAGTATCCTTCTTCAGAGGCGTAACACTATCCATATATAAGGAGTGAACACTGAACTTTGCATCTCTGAGAAATCCCTTTTTTTGAGTTGGCACTTCAGGTAAAACTATGGCTTTACATAAAAACATAAAAAAATGCAACACTGAACAGTCTTGATTCAGCTAAAGCTAAAACAACAACAACAACAASAAGAAAAAACAATAAATGACTGCTGAAACTTGGGCACCAAGGCAAAGGAGGCCGGTCTTCTTGGACGGGTTTAAGGCCTACCAACGCCCGCTGATGCTGGCCACGTCGGCGTGAAACTGYCGGGAGAGCCGTCCACTCGCTCCCCCCTCCAGGAAGGAGGACCTGATGGGTGGCTCAAATAGCTTCCTGCGGTTCTTGTTTAGTTCTGTAAAAAGATTTAAAATAAAAACAACATGTCAGCAAAAACAATAAAGAATGCTTTATGCTGAAAGGCTTTTGCAGAAAAAAACAGGATGTACAAAATTTTTGCAATTTGTTGTAAAACAGACAAAAAGCTGAATATAGAAGAAAGTAGCTAAAACATAGCTGAAAAAGCTGAATCTAGCACATAAAAGCAAAAAGAGCATTAAACAGCCAAAAGAAGTAGCTGAAGTGTTTTTACAAAAAAGGTAAATTAAGCTGAAAAAGGCTAAACTWCGCTTAAAATGGCTAAAAAGTAGCTTCCATTGCATAAAACTGAAAGAAGCATAAAAAGCCTAAATTAGTAGAAAGAAGCTGATAAAAGCACAAAAAAGTTAGCTGAATAGCTGAAACAAAACAAAAAACAAAAAAACAAAGATAGCTGAAAAAGGTAAACCTGACAACAAAAAAAAAATGTTTAAAAAATAGCTAAAATTTGCTGGAACTGGAAAAGTGCAGGGAAGATTTAACTATTGTGAAAGATTTTAAGGATGCTGAAAACAGCTTCATTAAATTTCTAAAATAGAACAAAAATGGCCAATAAAGCTAAATATCTCAAAAAGCATAAACTGCTGAAATACTAATAGTCATAGCCGAAATGTCCTGAAGGAGCTGACTAATTTGAAATATAAATTGTTGAAATAAGATATAAATTGCAGAACAGGTYACGTGCCGATAAACCTACAGAGGAAAAATGGATCATCTGAACTGTGAGAATAGCATTCACACAATAAAGACRTTTTTTAAGTGGGCAACCCCGTTTTGTGTTGCTGTAAGGAATTGCAGMAAATCACAGTGAACAAATAAACACAACCCAAGAAGTTTGTTGACATTTTTCTCCAGCCTCAAAGTGATCAACAATGACAAGAAAATTAGGTTCAAATCGCTGCAAAATTGCTCCGATCAACAAAAGCCCCTCTTTGTGGCCATCTAGCAGTTTGCTCAAATACTTTCATAAGAATGTCAAAAGGGCAGCCTGGCATTTCAAACATATTCATGTGACAGAAGTCTGTCTGCTGCTGCCAGTATAAACCTTCACTTTAAATCCTGGAGACAGGCAACTTGCTGCAGCAGCTCTTTTTACTGGCAACCAGACAGGAAGTTTAAACTCTCTTAATAAGAAACAAAAACACCCAGAAAAAAGGATAAGACAGGCAGAAACGAGCATATTTCTGTTGTGAGGGCTGAGACCCGGTCAGCGGAGATGAAAGTTGACCCGTGCTTGGCGACAGGCAACAMAACCAATTCTGGCCTTTGGAAACTACATCCTTAATAATCAGAGCSCTGGCCTTGATATTTTCCCTTGTTGGCTCAAATCAAGAGGTTTCGGCACTGAACCTTTTTAAAGGAAAACTCACGACAGGAAGCTCCCGCTCCCAGCGCAGCCAAACGGCTCCAGCTTTTATAATATCCAAAATATGATGTCAGTAATGAAGTGTGACACCCACCACATTCACATCAGATCGGAGGAGTTCAAATCAGCATCAGGGAGGCAGCTGCAGCAGCTGAAGCACCAAGAGTCATCTGAGAAGAATTTGCCCAAATCCATTTGTGCAAATAACTGYAACTTGTTTTCTTTTTTAAAAAGTTGGTTACACTACTGCCAATTTTTTTAAATTAATATTATTGGCGGCCAGTGAAAGTAATTATGTTTTTGCCCTCATCTGTAGTATTAAGCAACACAAATTTTGAAGTCAACCCAGCCAGGATGGTCACCAAAACAAATCACCTTTGCAAAATAAAAATGGGTAAAACTCAATATAAACAAGACTTAGAGGAAATTTGATGTGGTTGTAGCAGAGAGTCATTCACAACAGCACCAACACATCATATAGCATGCAATCTCATGCTATATTGTGTGATGTGTTGGTGCATAACATCATTTACAAGGTTTGACATAGTTATAACTCAATAAGAGAATTTTAAAGTTCTTGTCACATAAAATTTTTGTTATAAATAGGAACGCATTTAACGTATTGCAAAAAAAAAAAAAAAAAAAAAAATAAAAAATAAAAAATCACACGTTTGAGATGAACAGTTGTTGAGATATTCACGTGTTTTAACAGGAAATGATGACAGAGGAGTGTCTGCATGCGAACACAGCATTGCTACAATGGTCGACATCACAGACTGTAGAGAACAAGCTCTTGATGTTGTTTTTCTTTTGTTTAGATTCTTTTTAGTCACTACCAGAGAGAGATGAAGAGTCAGAGTTCAAATGATATTGTTTCAATAAACAAAGAGCAGAGAGTTCCTTTTCTTGACGAGTTCCCCTTTGATGTCACTTCCTGTTTCACTTTGGCTGAGCCAAGTTCAAAAGAAAAAAACACCAGTTATGCAACAAAATGGATAAAATCCTGTGTATTATGCCGTTTCGTAAACTCAAAGATGTTTTCTTTGACTTTTTGAATTTGAAGCATGTGCATGTCACAGACACTTAAAGGCTCCTTCACAAGAAAAATCCTCTTYTTTTTTTACGATTACGCWAGCAGCCAGTGTGGTGTTTGTATTTTTTAGTCCGTGCACTTGGAGAAAGTTTGACATACGCTCGGGTAACAAAGGCTCATGGGACATTTCATAAATTGACAAAACATGTGGTCTTATAAARTGTGCAAATCTAGACTAAATGTATTTTGTAGTTACTTGTATTGTGTGTTTAATCTTAATATAATTCAAAGACAAAGTAAGCACCATGAGAGAAAACTATACAGTCATAGGGCCAACCGCTGGTGGCTCAAGTCAAATGGCTGGGCGCGCCAACTTTGGGCAGCTCTGGTCTACATAAAAATATAAGCGAGTTCTCAATAATGTAGTGAAAGGAAGACATATGGTCTGTACAACACTCTGGTCACGGGTTTAAACAACAGATTTAATGTATTAACAAGGTAACATTGATGATGACGCACAGCAAATCGATACTGAGTTTAAAAAACAGTTAATCAGGAAAAAGCTGCTGAACTGAGTTAAAATTACATTTTTGTTTAAAATWTGTGCTCAAAAGGTGGTGGGCAACATGCTTTTCATCTGATAGGCATTTAATTATTTCCGAACCGTCTCATTCCAAACTATCTATAAAATTCTGTGGTGACTTCTGTCACCTGGATTATATCTTCTGCCTAGCTGGACTTCACTCGGGCTTGTTGTGTTGGCAAACAAAATAAAATAAAAAACTGTGTGCGCAACATTCATCGGGCTGAGCAGGACCATCCAACTCCAGCTGCTACTGGCTCATAAAAAGGAACACCTTGAGGCTCAGTTGCTCATATGTAGTAATTTTAGTTTTAGCCTTACAGCTAACGGCACAGAAAAGCTTTGCTCATAAAAACAACAACAACAATCATACCTGAAATGGCAAGCAGCATTTTCCTGCGGGCACCAAAAGTGGTGATTCCTAGTTCCTTCAGGTCCTGGTCTGTTAGAGTCAGGAATGTCTGGAGGTCAATCTGAAAGCAGCAACAATCAATTTAAACCCACAAATTAGAATGATCTATTTAAACTAGTCAATCATAACTATCATAACTAGTCAATCAAAATCACTTTTGTTTCTTTAACAAGCTTTGCAGAAAGTGTGATAATGTGGAAATTGGGCTGTAGATACATCTAATCCTCCAGTGCCTCTTTTAATGCAATCATGTTTAACAGACAGGCTCAGAGCAAAATGTGGAAAACCCCCTTCTCAMGTTTCCTCTGGATTGTATAAAAAATACCTCATAGGAATTGATCTTACTTCACAATGGATGTTTAAGAACTGTAGCCAGACTAAACATAGCATAATCTGTCTCTCTCCCTCTCTGTCTGTCTCTCTCTGTCTGTCTCTCTCT